CTTCATCCCTGGAGGTATTTAAAAGACTTGTAGACGTGTCGCTTAGGGACATGGTTTAGTGGTGAACTTGGCAGTGCTAGGTTAACGGTTGGACTTGATGATCTTAAAGGTCTTTTCCAAGCTAAATGATTCTATGATTCTGTGATTCTAAATAGGTTTGTGCTATTGTTAAATGCAGTCAGCTGTCAGTATTAGTTGCGTTCCCATTGCTTTACTTGTGTATGTCTGCACACACACGCGTACGTCTTTTAAGTCAGGTCATTGAATGTCCTTATTTATTATATTGCTCTATTCATCCTTCTTCTATGCTGATCTAGCTAGCTTCTTTGTTTAGTATAGTCTATCAGCAACTGTCAGTTGCTCTTCTGGGAACATCAGGCCTATCTGTTCCAGGATGGTTCCTGCAATCTGTTTGTTTTCATTCTACTTGATTTCTGAGATATTCAACTCTTGATCTGCTTTTTCCAATTGAAATACATTTTCAATCAGAAAAGTAATCAGAGCTTAGTTTTAATACGGTGTCACAATTGCAAACAATCTTTCTCTACATATTTCAAGAATCTGCTGGAAGAGCTTTACCTGCATACTTAAAATGTCAATATGGCAGGATAAAAATAAGTTCCAGCACTACCCTAGTACTACTTGAATATATCTGGGGTGTGGGTTGTATTTGTCGCCTCATTCCTGAATTGTGGGAAATTTAATTGCAAGCATGTGTTGTGGATCCTGTTCTCTTCCATGAGTCTTTGCCTCAAGGAATTTAGACTTTCTTTCATCTCTTCCAAAAACTCTGTAGTGGTATGCTTTCTCCATTATAGTCTTTGTGCTTCATTGTTTGAAATGCAGCTTATTTCCTTGCGTTACCTCCTCCCTCAATGATCAGTGTTCTGTGATATAGAGCACATTTGGATATTAAACACTTAAAAAGTCTTTTTGGTTCTACCGAATGTGTAGTAATTCCTAGGTTACGGAATAAGGCTAATCCTGTCATTCCTCTACAAGACAGGTCTCAAATGTTGTGCCCCCTTGCTCCCTGTCCCCTCCATTTCCTAGAACAGATGTTTATTTCTGCTTCCCATATCTCGACAAAGCAGCTGAAGAGAAGAGCAGGTAAGAGGGATGGAGATGAAGAGGGAGAATGGGGTGAGGAAGGCAAGGTATCTTATGTTTCCTGCAGAACGGAGCTGGGATGAGGCTATGGTATCAACAACATTTAGACTTGAGAAAGAGAAACTGAACCCTGCCCAGTCAGTTTTTATTTCCCTGAAAGAGGCACTTTTAGGAATTGCATCTTTACGAGTTTGGTTTCCTCAGTCCTGGGTAGCCAAGGCTTTCCATTACATAGGTAAAGGCTAGCATTAGAAAAACCTGATGCCAGGAAGCTGGGATTGTGAATAAGTTTTCTTAATGTGACTGATTAGAGATTACAGCTTGACGGAAATCCATCTCACTTATTGATGATTATTTCCTCTTAAGGATAAGCTTTTATATCATCTCCCTGTCACTTATATAGCAAAGTCTACTGAGATAGCTGGGTATCCATTGCTCAGTAGCTTTAGTTCAGGTCTGGAACTAATATATTTGCATCAGTGCAGTATTGCAGTTGAGCAGGCGGAAATGGGAGTGTGTTGTGAATAGTGAAGCCATCTTGGGATATGGATGAAACTTCTCAGAAAGGATTGCTATAAAATGTGCATGGGGAGATTACAGATAGACTGGTAAACTCAGCAGTTTTTGCAAGTTTACTGTTACTTCATGTTAAGCAATAAGACTTCTTATACTTCAGAAATCTGTGTGGCTTTCTTGGCTGGCTGAATCAAGTCAGATAATTTCTCAACTTCCAGAAATTGCCAGTAGATTTCCTGTTGATTACAAAGTTTACTGTCATCTTTGCCACAAGAGGCTTGATAGACTGATACCTCCATCGTGAGGAAAATGCAAACTGCATGATCTTTGCACGCGATTTAGAGACTTTAGGTGCATTATATTAAGTACAACTCAAACTCTCTATATAAAGTGCTGTCAGTTATAGTTTGTGAAAATGTGATTGTTCTTCAAAGTTCATACAAAAAAGAAAAGAAAGTCTGAAGGCAATATTAGAAGGTTGTCATATGTAAATGAACACATGAAGCTATCTTCTAAAATTTCATTTATGATCAACAGATCTGAAGTTTTCAGAAATTTTTGGCAGCTTATTTAAATTTTTTTTTTATAATGAATTATTTTTTTACTTAAATATTGGGATTCATTATGATAATTTGTTAACTACTTAGACCTTTTGATAATTTCTTGTGGTTTTCTGTTTTTTCTCTCTCTCCAAGTTTGTCAAGGAAATAATTCACTTCCCATATCTCAAATTGAGAGGGAAATCCCTTTTCATTTGACTTCTATACAGTTTGGAAATACATATCTATTGCTTACTTGAGTTTGAATTTTAAGCAGTGGATTTTGAACAGCACCTTGAGCTCTGCTGGGGCATTGTCAGTAGAACTTAGGTGGCATTTTTTGTGTGATTGTCTCGTGGTGGTGGGGGAGAAGGAAATAATTTTCTTCAACATATTTTCCAAAGTAGTTAAACCTTTTAATGTTGTTTCCTTTTTTTTTTTTTTTTTTTTTTTTTCTACTCACTTTGACCAGTGGCATACTTTAAATATTAATATGGGTTGTTTAGACATTAATGGATAATAACTGTTGAAATAAACTTGGGGCTTTCATTTTCAAACATGCACCATTACTGCTATGCTTTTTTTTTGTTTTGTTTTCTCCTCCTGAATGTTACTCAATCCGGAGAGGGAGTGAGCTTCAGGCAACAAAGCTGATACTTTTGGTGCAGTAAAGTTGATACTCCCTGGAATCACTAAGCTTACTTTGCTCACATAGTACATTTCCACATAGCTGTGCATTTATGCATTTGTAGCTATTATGGCTCTGGGAAGTGTTGGATCTCTTGTACATGTGCAGTATAGTGGACATATGTGCACAGTATGTGCTGGAGGGAAGGGGGCTTTGCATCTGCATCAAAGGTTGGCTGTGTGGCAGGGAGGTGCTGGGTAACACAGCTCTCTGCTATCACTCACTGGAATATGTGTGGCATGTACAACAGTAAGGCTAAGCACTGCTTTCGCAGAATGAAAATTTGTTCTTGAATTTTGAAGGTGTAACAGTGAAAGAAATGTTATAGTGTTAAAATAGTAAAGCCAGGTAGAAGTAATAGGGAAGACAGCTGCTGTAAGACATGATCTTTTTTGGTTTAATCCCCTTAGGTATGAGTTCTAGTCAGGATGTTGTTTTGATTTCTGAGTGCTATTCTCAACATAAGGTTTTGGTTTATAAAGTACTTCTTACTGGTATATTAAATATTTACTTCTTTAAAATTTCTATAATACCTACTTATAAGCTGATAGTTTGAAGTATATTTGTGAATCTGTACACTCTAGGTTTTACTTGTATTTCATAACTAGTTGCATTTGCTTTATTAAGTTATTAATGACAAGGCTAATAAACTGAGCCTTTTTTGGGTACAGCTGCCTCTGATGGAAGCAACTCTTTGCTTTCTATGCAATGCACATGTGTAGTCTCTAACCACCCAAATTAAGATCCCAGACTTCTTTCCTGCCTTCCAAACTGTGATCTCGTATCCTTTGTTACCCTTTTTTTTTTTATTTTTCCTCTTCTGCCACGTCACTTGTGCTCTGTTCTGCTGCCAAACCAAAATAAACACTTAGTTGGTTTTTTTTTTTTTTACTTTGTGTCACAAGCATGGTCCTCAGCACTGTTTCAGTGTCCTGGATCAGAAGATATAGCTTCTGCTTCTGCTAGCATGGGAGATGATGACATAACTCTGAACATATGCATACTTGAGAACTGCTGTATTGTCTGCCATTCATAGTCCTTTTAAAAATAGATTGTATATACCATGAGTAATGTACATATTACAGTTCTGATAATTCAGTTTTGTTATTAATCAGATATCTCAGGTCTACCACTTGTGCTCCTTTACAGTCATCACTGAACTTTGAGAAACATTCTGAAAATTTTTCGTGGACAGAGAATCGTTGTGAAGCAAATCGCAGAAGGCACAACTCTTCAGATGGGTTTGATCCTAACATTGGATGGCCTAATGGAGGTAAAATTTAGCTTTCATGGAACACTTTAAATACATTTACATTGTTGCTTTGTAGCACTTTGGCTAGAAAAAAAGTCTGATGATAATAGCTCTCCTATGCCAAATGCTGTATTCTGTAGCAGAATAGAGGTAATGGAAAGACAGATCTTCTGGGAGACAATGTGATGACTAAGGGTTGGTTAAAGTAGTGTGATTCCAGGTGTATTTCTTAAGAAGAAGGTGGTCAAGTTAATTCTCTAGCCAACAACATATAAATGAGCAGCCAGAAAAGGGGTTTGACTTCTTAATGTTGGACTACTATCCTCTTTCTTTGGCACTGTTTTGTGAGATTCTTCCCTGCTGCTTATGTGAATGAAAACTAAGTTTATTATGCTATCACATCCCAGAGTATAGAGCTGCTTGCTTAACTCCTCTACCAATTTTGCAAAAGTAGAATGTTCTTTCAAAGCTGTTAGTAATTAATTTTATTTTTTTTTAATTTAAAAATCTAAGGGCATTTTGGGAGAAAAGAGAAGAATGGCTGGCGTTCACAAGGCAGAAACGGTACAGAAAATATAAACTATCGTGGGGGATACCATGGTGGAGGTTCCCGCGCTCGTACCAGCACTTTCCACTGTGGAAAAGGCCAAGGACTGCATGAAAACAATATATCTGATAATGAAACTGGGAAAAAAGAAGACAAGGAAGTACCCAAACAGTTTGAGGCTGAGGATTTTGTAAGTTAATTGTAATTATAATAAACAAAGTTTCATTGTTTCTGCAAGTGACATTTTGTCTGTTACAAGATACTTCATGAGATTTCACCAGTTACAGATCATCATTGAGGGATCACCCTTCCCGTAGGTAAGAGGGTGTTAGTCATTTGTCCACTAACTTGTTTCTCATTTTATATCCAGTTTTTATCATTATGTTTTTATTATTGTCACTTAAGTGTTTAAGTGAAACTATAATTGGGTTCTAAATTTATTTTATAATATCTTACCACAGTTTACTGTGGCATGTGTATGTATTAAATTCTACACAAGTACCTTACTGGAAATACGAAGTACTAACAAAATGATCTTTCTGCCACTGGCCGTTTGAGGTCCCATGCTTCAACCTAAAATTGTAGGATGTAAGGGGAAGGGTGAGCTTCCTCTTTGAAGATCCATACGTCACTGTGTTTTGCTTTCTCTGGACAGTTCATATAATGGTATCGACTGCTATTTGAGATGTTTTGTTGGAGAAGAGAAACAAGTGAGCGTTGATCTATTTGGGTCGCAGGGGGAAGTGTCTAGTCTGTCTCCATTTAAAAAATCTTTGACAGCAGAGATCGTACTTCCGATATTATTGTGATTCTTTATTTCATTGGTCCCACAATTCAAGACTTATCATTATTAAAAATATAATTTAATAAATTTTCCTTTCAGCCATCTTTGAATCCTGAATATGAGAGAACACCAAACCAGAATAAGTCTTTAGCTGCAAGTGTGTGGGGTGAGTATTTTTGATGTTTCTAAATATAAAAATGTAGTGGAGATCTGAAGTTGTTTTATTTGAAACATAGGAATTTTTTTAGAATATTACAAAGATATAGATTGAAATTGAGGAAACTTCAATATTATTACAACGTAAGTATCTTTTTGTTAGAGAGGTGACACTTCTATTTGGATATCAATCTGTTGGTCTGTAGATGCAGCCACAACTAGGATTCTTTCCAAGAACAAGTATGTGTCTTTTTGTAAAGATGTCAAGAATTTATCTCCCAAGAGGAAATGTGATGAAGGTGGGTCACCTAAGCTAGTGATGCGATTGCTAGCTGAAGACTTTGTAAAAGAATGCTCCTGATTGATTAGAGCTGTTGGAAGATCTTGGAGAGAAACCTAGGAGGGCTGGGAAGAGCAGGTTAGTTTGCAGAGATTTAAGGTTGCTTCCTGGAAGCAAATGTCTTAAGCTGTTGGTTGTGTTTATGAATTACTTGTAAGAAAGCCAATCCTGAGAGCGGGCCTTTAACTGAACTGTAGTCTGGGTTTGTTTACTCGTCTCCACCTGATAAATTTGGCTACCGCTTTACAGTTCTGTGGGCTTTAAGTAGTGAATTGTTCACTCTAAGAAGGGGTGGTAGCTTTAGACTGCACAGGTTTTAAAGTAATAAACTTACTCAAAATAAGAATCTTTCTCTTTGAGGAAATAAGTTTAATTAAACATAAAAGCTACAACTTAAACTGTTGTTAATACTGAGGTCTGAAACTTGTTGCTCATTTTAAATGGTACTTTAATTTGCTGATTCTTTTTCTCATACTTCCCCAGTATGTTTTGCATTCTTAGTTAACACTAGGTGTAGGCCAACCCCTCAATATAAATATCTAACTGCTAAGAACTTCTGCAGGAGCCTAAACAATTGGATTGCTTTCCATTTTTGTGTATTTAGCAGCTTTCATGTGAAAGTCATGAAATATAGTTATCTTTCAATAAAAGAGTAACAATAGCCAAATTTTTTTCCTAACCAAGTTGTGGAAAATTATATAGCAACTTGAGTGTTTTACAACCTTTGCAGCACTCTGGCTGTGGCTGCTGCATGATGTGGCTCAATTTGATCAGAAGGAGGGCAAGTTTTCCAGGCTTTCTAGGTATCGCTCTTCACAAGCAAAGGAAGGAACAGTTCTGTTAGGTACATAGATCTGTAAGCTGCAGCAGCTTGTTACAGCTTACAGCTTGGTATCTTACTTTTTTACAGCTCTGCTATTGCAAGCCTTGTTTTGTAATTGAAAAACTGAAATTAAGGCTATTCTTATTCCCTGTTAAAGGAAACTTAATATTCAGGACAAGAGAAATGTTACCATCCCCTTCTAATGACTGTTAAAAACGTATGCTTCTGTTACATTCCATTTTACCTTGTGTAAATGGGATGGGAGCATGTGAGTATTATGAAGTTTTTTCATAAAGTTTAATGAGAGCTAAGCATACAGTTATCACAAATGTTTTGTAACATCTACCTGCTAAACAAAGCTAAGATCACTTACACTTTAAAGATAGATTATTTTTTTTTTTTTTTTTTAAATGTAGGATATGGAGGCTCTGCCTGTGAAGTAGAAATGCTTGCAGAGAGAGGAGATAATCTTGGAAAAGGTTGTTAATGCAGCATTGTAATGCATGTGCAAAAAAATAAAGTGTTTTTTTCACTTTTTGAAAACTTTAGAACTGTTTTTAATAGGTGTTCTTTCAAACTGTGTTAAATGTCAGTTACTTAGTATGACAGCTGACTACGTCTCCAATTAGTGGTCTCTTGAACCTGGAAATGGTGTAAGCTTCAGATGTTCTATTATGCCCATCTGAGGCATAGAGATAGAGAAACTGGTCATTACCATGGTCTACCGTAGTATGCATCTCTTCTCTCATGTTTATAGAGCCTTGGTGTGGAACATTTGGCTCTAAAAAGAGTTGTTAATAAATATATGAGTAATTCTTTAGTAACCTTAAAGGGAAATATGAAAACCATAATCTCTTTTGAAGATTAGGTACCTATTAACAACTAAGAGTATTTGGATTTTGGATTTGCAAACAAGAACTGTGTAGCTAGCTTCTTTGACTGAAGGATATCTTTTATTTTCCAAAAGTAAAATTCCTGCATTGCCAAGTGAAATATTTTATAAAAGGTGGTTGCGGAAAATGGAACAGGTTTGTACAGTGTGTTATTTGTGGAACTAATACTGGACCAAGTTCCCGATTTACGCCTATTTGTTCTGGACCATGTGGCTATCCAGTACCCTATGAACTAGGAACTTAAGAATGTATACACATGCATGCGCGCGTGTGTGTATATATACACACACACACACACACTCTCTCTCTCTTTTTTTTTTCTTTTTTTCCTCCCCCAGAGTACCCTTTGAATCCTAAATCTAGATCTCCAAGAATGCTGGTCATTAAAAAGGGCAGTACAAAAGAACTGCAAATATCTGGATTCCCTGTAGTAGGAAGTCTTCATTCACAGCCAGTAAAGAATGGAACTGGCACAAGCGTTTATAAAGGATTAGTCCCTAAACCTGCTACTCCACCTGCAAAGGTGAGTCTTGGATACTGGTGGCATGAACAACATGCTGAAAAAAATCATGCTCTAATTCTGAAAGTGCTTATTTCACCCCTGAGGATACTGTTCCTGGAGTATTATGCTTTCAAATCTTGCTAAGTGCAGAACACCCCAAAAGTGAACGGAAACACTTTTTCTCATTTTTCTTTTAAAACTATACTGTAATTGGATCTCTTTGTTTCTCATTTACCTTTGAGAAGTGCATGAGCTGTCCAAGGGAGAGTGAAAAGTATGTTTTTAACTTACAGAATAGCAATGCCTTTTGTATATATGTTTTTAACAGAAAAATAGATACCTAGTGGAGAGCTATAGTTGGCATAAAAGTACCTCCAGAATTTCTCCCAATTGTTGATATAGACATGCTTAGTGTCATTCTGGTCCCTCTCCATATGCAACTTTCCATGTTCATCTTTTGATTTTGTTTCAGGAATTTTGTGCTCCTGAGAGCATCTAATGGAGCTGTTCTTAACTCTCTTAACATACTACATTAAAAACACTACTTTCAGCTGTTGAAGACTCATATTTTGATTCTTAATACCTCAAATATGAGGGTCTTAATAGTTTGTAAATTTAACTCTGTATAAAAAAGTGTAAACAGTATTTGTGAGAGAGGATGAATTGCTCATAAACAGTCTCTTTTCCACAATAAAACAGGTATTTGCTCTAAATTATGGTTGTAGTTATTTGCTTTTGCTTAATCATTTTTCTAAATATTCCTGAAAATAATCCTATTATAGTTAATGACTCTCTAAGTTTTTAAATTTTTGTTTAGCCTACACAGTGGAAAAGCCAAGCAAAAGAAAATAAACTTGGGAATCCATTTTCTCATGAATCTGCATATGGTATTGGCAATTTCAGTCCTTTCAAATCAACTGCCAAGGCATTTACTGTATCACAGAATTCAGTGAATGAGGTAAAGCAATGTCTGTAGTTTTTATCAAATCTATCAAATTTTAAATTTGTTTGGTTAGATAACTGGATCAGTAAGTTTTATGCAGAACTGTATTAAATAAGTTTATTTTTGTGGAAGTTAGTGTGGGAGAGAGAAATATGGAAGGTACATCACTGGCCTTTAAGTACTGCAATATTTCCTTTGTAAGTTTGATTTGGAGTAAAAATGGTGCATTAGGAAGTATAACCTGGTAGGTTTAAACTTCAAAACTGCTAATAGTGTGATACAGTGGACCTTCTGAAGTGTTTGTTAGCAGGGCTCTATAAGCCTTCATCTCTGGGGTTACATGTAAGAACTATATATACTGAAATACAAATATCTTCCCTCTGCTTTTGACTGTGGATATACATGAAACCTGAAACTACAAGTGCCTGTGAGTCGTCGTCTTTCATTCAAAGTTTTCTAAATGAATAAACTTCTAATATTCTTTCTTTTTTTCTGACCACCCCCCCCCCACACACACATACATTAGTGTAATCGGTCGAATTCGTCATCCCCTATTGACAAAGTTGGTCAGCCTCGTTTAACAAAATTGACAAGAATGCGGACTGATAAGAAGAGTGAATTTTTGAAAGCATTGAAACAAGATAGAGTGGAAGAGGAACGTGAAGACGAGAATCATGCTGGGCAAGAGAAGGTAGTTTTTGTTCATACCTATTGTAGATCCAGCAGTAACAGTTCTCAGACTGAACATAAACTACTTTTGGTTGTAAACAGCTGTTAAGTCATGGTCTTGATCTCTAAATGAAGGAAAGGAATTACCTTTTGATGAATTTTAAAAATTTGCTCCAAGTACTACTCTTTCTCCAGTGCTTCTTAATAGTTTCCTTTTTCTTTCTGCAGTATCTGCTTATACATGTTAGAGACAGATGTGCCTGAGTTATTAGCAACAATAAAAAGAATAAATAAGCTCAGTACACTAACCTAATCTTTGTGGAGGGCAGTGTTTTGCACCTTGGCTGTTAGTTATCCTACAAAACAATTAATGGAAAAAACTTGGTTCTGCTTCTCAAACCATTTCCTCTCTAATTCGAGTGTTTAGATAGCCAGAAGTTCTCTGTTCTTGGTCTAGTCATAGGGGCAGTAGTTTGATTTATGCATATATAAAAAAAATGGATTTACTTCCTAATTGAGAACTTGGAGGTCTATACTGTATATAATATGTATCAGTTTTCTTTCAATCAGGATCAGTTTATGCAGTGCTTAGCTGGCACCTGAGAATATTTGTGTCAGTGCTACCAGCCACCAACAAGCCATATCATAGTTATCATATGCAGTCCAAGTGAAGATAAGTAATGTATTATTCAGGATGAGGCAATTAAAAGCCTATGTTTGCTGTAAATGAGTGGTTTAAAGTGTAAACAAAAAAAAGGGCACAAATTACAAATCAGCCAGACAAATAAAATGAGTGGTTTTGAGGAAGGGTTATTCAGAGACGTGAAAAAAGAAACAGTGCCAGTGTGCATTGCTCATAAAAGATGGACTTTTCTGACCCTGTTCCTATTTTGGGTAAAATAAAATTTGCTGTAATGGGACTGTACAACTTAGCTGTATGTGTCAGTTGGGAAAGGTCTGCATCTTTCCATTAGGCATTTTATGGCTGAGCATCCCGAGATGGGTGTTGGGGGTAATGCTGTTCATGTGTGTTTAAGAAATACACAAAATTTTGATTTGATTAAAAAGATCTTGGGAAGCACTGTCTTGAGCTTCAGAATTCTGAACGTGAATTTGGTGGGAATTTCTGTTCCTGAAATTGTCTTGAGTTCTTAATATCTTCATGATACTTATGTCAAATGCATTTTGTTGTCCCATTGTACGCAGCTGATTTTCAGAAGCAGTGTGTTGGGGGGGGGGGGGGGTTTTTGTTAGTGAAAATTGTAATGTCCTTGGACAGGTGTATGTAACATGTAGCCTGGAGTATTTGTTGGTAAGCGCATGTGTCCCCTGCCCTTGCTGTTTCACTAACAGGTGTGAAAAGATGTTAAATCATTAACTAATAGTTGTCCTACTTCCAACATTCATTTTAATGATCATCAGTAGAAGACATGGTGTGCAACTGAGTGGATAGGGAGATAACCACACAACAGACTTTTATAACGTGATCCTGTTGATGGAATTTTAAGGCCTGCAGCAACAGATTTCACCTCTGAAATAATGAGGCAAATCATAATTAGCAGCTGAATCGTGCTTGGAAGAAGCTATTTTGCCCTAATATATTAAAATTGTTTAATATTTTTATGAATTTTCTTTGATAATATGAGATGCATTTTTCAGGTGGTATGATTTAACAGGTGAATATATGTTTACTGGGGTACTTGTTCTTAAGAAATTCTTGCTGAGCATTCTAAAATTTCTGGAGGCAGACAATGCTGTGAGCGGGAGGGGAATGATGATGGATGGTCTTGATCGTGGACTCTGAAGTATGATTTTGTACAAGTGCAGAACTGTCTGAACTTAAAGAGCAGTATCCAGTCTTCCTGAACTTGTGGCAGATGAATTTGCTGGTTGAGGTATGGTGACTGTGACCTGCCCCTTACGCTAAATGAACTTGAGAACTCTTATGCTTTCAAACTTCTCCTGAAACACATGGCTCTGATATTTAATTAGGAACATTGCTTGTAAGTTCGCCAGATAACCTGTTATTTCTGTAAGTATGAAAGGCAGCTTAAATAAGTTTGAATTTTAAGATATGTGTGAAACGTAGTAGAAAAAAGGTGGAGGCAGAGCACACGAGTTGCTTTCTACATTACTTGATCAGTGGCGTAACTTAAGTGTAGTATCCAGGTATTGCAGTCTCTAGAACTATGAACAGAATTATCCTTGAAGTAGTATCCATTTAAACTTAATTTAAATTAAATTAATTTGATTAAATTAAACTTAATTTAAACGGTGTCACTGAATTACAGCACTTGCAGACATTTACTTATGAATGGAATTTACTTTTAAACTTTGTAATATATAATTATTTTTAACAGGATGATGAGTCCTTTAACTTGCATAACAGCAACAGTTCTCATCATGAGAGAGATATAAACCGAAACTTTGAAAATGAAATTCCACAGGAGAATGGCAATGCTTCAATTACATCTCAACAGATCATTCGATCTTCAGCTTTCCCTCAGGCAGACGTTCTTTCAAGCTCACTTGAAGCAGAGCATAGGTACGTACTTTATATAATACAGTGTTCCTTCATGGTAAGTGAGCATGTCATAAATTCTTACTAGTTCAGAAGTCAGAATCTGAAAACTGAGAACACTTAAAATGTTTAAGAAGTACTGTCAAAGTTTTAACTTTTAGACATGTACTAATTTAACATGGAATATACTTTGTTTCTACTAGGCTTGTGTAATGACTTAAACTTGCTTTACTAAAAATTTGATGTATTTCCTTATAAAGAAATGGTGAACTGCATAGTGACTTCATCCCTCTGGTTTTCGTCTGCATGCCTAGGAGGAGCAATGCATGTAATTAATAATACTTTAAATGCTGCAGCTTATGTAAAACTAGTGAGTTTTTCCTCATTGTTAAAGTAATTAATTATTTCTATAGCTGACTAGTTGACACTTCCAGTGATATCACAAGACGATGCACTGGAAAGGGAGAAAATAACTTCAAGAAAGGATTGAAACAATTCTAGTATCTCATAAAAGTGACTGCAGTAGCAACTGCTAGAGATGAGAATGAAGCTGCTGGGAAACCACAACTCAGTCTGGAGATGAGCTTGTCATCAGCTCTGTCAGATTCTTACTGTTTCTGGCAACTACAGAATTGCAGTGACAAGATTAGGTAGATTTTTTTTTTTTTTTTTATATTTAGTGATAGATTATATGTATGCATTGGACTAGAGAACTTTCCTTTGTGTGGTACCTGAAGAGGAAACTTTCATGACCTCTTATCACTCACAAGTATGAAAAATGAAATGCACCCTGCTCTGTTGCTTTTTTCCCACCATTGGTTACGGAGACAGAAATCTTTGGCCACTAGAGGCTGCTGATGATGATTTTTTGAATAGAAGATAGAGTCAAATCTAACTCTCATTTTTCAATTCAGATGACTTTGAATGGCCTTCATAGGGTTTCTGGGCAAATGTCTTTCCTCTGTGGTGTCCCAGAGAGGCTGTGTCTCCATACAGCCCTTTGGCTGTGACCTCTGCATGCATGTAGACAGATGTTATGGTAAGCCTTTTTGTGGTAAATTGGACTTGAAGTGACCAACCTAACTCACAGGATACTTGTGCATACCGAGTAACAGTATTGGCACGTCTTGTACGAAATATATCTTGAGCTTTCTTTCTGCTGGGGAAGTTTCCAATGTGCAGCCATCCTGTTTGTGTCAAGTTTGCTAACCTGAAGTTTAATTTTTTTATGTAGTTCACACTTTTAACCATTCTAGAAGACTAGTGTTGCTTTAAAGGGACAGCAGTCCTGCAAACTTTAGACAATGTTGCTTAGAAGTTGATTAGCCATTGCCCTAAATTTTATTTGCATTATCAGGAGCTCTGTAACTATTCACTTAGCTGTACATGATACTGTTACCATCTTAGCTTGCTTGCAGTAAAACTTTCTAGCTCAAATTACTGTTGCCAGAAATACAATTATCATTGAACTGCATTTGGCATTGCGAGTCTTTTTCTGTACATCTATACAAATGCACGTATTCTCTTAAAAGAGAGTTTTGGATGACTTGCATATTATTTCTGCTGCTTCCTGAGGATTTAATTGTTCCTGGCTGTCACATTGTGCAATTTGGTCCAAATACTACAGAGGATGTGATTTCCATTTCTGTTATTGTCCTGTTAACTTTTTTTTTTAAACAGAGTAGTGCTGTTCTCTCCTTCTCCTTCTACAATTCCAGGCTTTTATTATTGTTTTAACAACAGTCATTGGTGTCATTGGTCACCTGCAAGTTTGCCCAGTGCACATCCATTGTATTGGGACCTAGAGTTCTTTGTGGGGAGGGTTATGTTGAAGGGCATTTTTTGCTGACATCTGGCTAAATGAAGTACCTGGCACATGACATCAACTGTGTTTATCTAACTTCCCTATTTTAATATATTCACCATTCTTCAGGTCTAAGTGTCAGTTTCTTGTGTCAGTTCTGGCGTATACTTTAGAAACCTCTTCATGTTTTGTGAAATAGCTTTAACCTTTGGTAGCCCACAGTGACACATCCAGTGCATGCCCATTGTATTGGGACCTAGAATTTTTGGTAGGGAAGGTTATGTTGAAGGGCATTTCTTGCTGACATCTGGCTAAATGGAATACCTGGCAAATGACATCAACTGTGAGTTCATTTAACTTCCCTGTTTCAGTATATTCACTGTTCTTCAGCTCTAAGTGTCAGTTTCTTGTGTCAGTTCTGGCATATACTTTAGAAACCTCTCTATTTTTTTTGAAATAGCTTTAATCTCCTTTAACATTTAAGGTCAACAGGTGTGTGGTTTGCCTGAAGAAGGTGCTAATCCTTTTGGCAAAAGCTTTGCAGCAAGAGAACTTACTATCTTCATTGTTAAATGTCACAGTGTCTTCACCCTCAGATAAACTGTGTTTTCACAGCGTCTTCACTCCTAAAACCACTTTCTTCCTGCTCAGATACCGCTGTCCCACTTTTGGCACCAGCTAAAACACTTTTATTATTGCATTTTTGGACATCTCGAGCTTAGTCACGAGAGGAATTTGTCTCCATTTCTTTTCCTCCCCTCATCCCAAAACTCACTCCTAGTTGTAGTCTGTCTGTGCTGGAATATCAGCATCTGCTGTCAGGTGAGACTCAATTGCAAAGAAGCCTGTCCTGGCTCTGACATTAGCATGTGCTAGAAAAAAGAAACTGTATGAGGCTGTTGCATCCTGAATTGTGGTTCTGTCACTGAGGATCAATGCAGCTTCTCCCATGTGCATTGTCTCCATCTCCAAACTTGATGCAGAAGATACTGTGGGTCTGAGGTGAGGAACCATCTCTGATGTTGATTCTCATGGAGGGACACCACCAGCATTCCTACACTGCTGCTCCACCAGAGCAGTTATGCAAAGGAGATACATTCTTTTCCACCTGACAGAGATTTCTTGTCTTAAAATGAAGGTACAGTTACTTAGATTCTGCTTTCTTCCTGCTTGAACTTTAGGAATATGATGAATATCATAGTGTAGCCAGGGTCACTTGATTTGTACTAAAGTCATTTGCCTTTGATAACTTCTTACACAAATATATTGATGATGGAGTTCTGTCCTGGTTTTGGTTGGGATAGAGTTAATTTTCTTCCTAGTAGCTGGAATAGTGCTGTGTTTTGGATTTAGGATGAGAACAGTGTTGATAGCAACAACTAAAACATCAGTGTGTTAAGTAGTGCTTACACTGGTCAAGGACTTTTCAGCTTCCCATGCTCTGCCAGGTGCGTAAGAAGCTGGGAGGGGGCACAGCCAGGACAGCTGACCCAGACTGGCCAAAGGGCTATTCCATACCATCTGACATCATGCTCAGTATATAAACTGGAGGGAGTTGGCTGGGGGGCAGCGATTGCTGCTCTGGGACTGGCTGGATGTCAGTCGGTGGGTGGTGAGCAGTTGCATCACTTGTTTTTCCTGGGTTTTGTTCCTCTCTTTGTTGTTTTCCTTTTCACTACAATTTTATTATTATTATTATTTCATTTTATTTCAATTATTAAACTTCTTATCTCAACCCACAAGTTTTCTGACTTTTGCCCTTCCGATTCTCTCCCCCATCGCACTGGGAGGGGGAGTGAGCAGCTGTGTGGTGCTTAGTTGCTGGCTGGGGTTAAACTATGACAAGGTCACAGCTTAATGGGCTGTAAAGTCTATAGTCCCAACACCAGATATGCTTTTAAGAGAAATCCTATGCATCAACAGCTGAACTTGCATATGATCCAAATTCTGTTCTCTTTTGCTTTTGCTTTCTTTATTGCTGTAGTCCTGGAGAGCAGCCATCCAATTGAAACAGAATATGAAAAACTGTCAGATTTTTGTAGGCTGGTAATAAAGATCCTGAAGTGAGATAATATGAAATTTGGCTTTTGTGTCCTTATGTTCACTGGATTGGCAGAGAAAGCAGGGTCTATTTTGTATGTGAAACCTGATGGCAGGAAATGTAATATTTGGTATATGCAAGTGATGGTGTGGATATATGCTTGAAATTAAGAATGTGTTCTATAGATAAAGTATTACTGTTTAATTTTTGCAACATTTGAAATTAAACACGTAGTAAAACAGGATCATCTGTGAAGGACCTGAGAACTTCTCAACTTCTGTGCTTTATCTTTTGTAAGGCTTTTAACCTACTTTTATGTAAGAGTTTGTTTAAAAAAAAAAAATGGACTGATTAATCCATTTATTACAGATCTTTACACACCTGCATAGGCAGAGCTTGAAATATCTGAGTGTGTGTAGCAAATTCCTTAATGTTGTCCTTTTTATTTTAAAGGTTGTTAAAGGAAATGGGCTGGCAGGAAGACAGTGAAAATGATGAAACATGTGCTCCACTAACAGAGGATGAGATGAGGGAATTCCAAGTCATTAGTGAACAGGTAATGCTAAGTTAATGTTCCATTATGAACTTGTAGGTGGCTACTCTAAATGCCTACCTTTGAGGGGGATCTCCAGTAATTTTGATGGTTAGGGATGCTGCCATTTCAGTATCCTTTTTCTTTCCCCTCTCTTGCTTCCTTGTGCTTTCAGAAGAATAGTTGCTTTAAAAAGATAGGGGACCAGTGCTTATTGTAGGTAAGGCCTATTCTCAAAATATTAGGGGAAGGGTAGGGGAGTGGTTCTGAGTAGTTTCAGCATTGCTGGTAGTAGAATTGCACAGGCTTTCCAGGTCCTCAGCTTAGCCTGAGGAAAGGGAATTTTCTTTCAAGGTTTTTATGCAGCTTCCTTGGCTTTCCAAAATCTGAATTTTCTCTGTTGGAAATTGAGGGACACTTAATTCACTAGTAACAAAGTCTGAAAAGGCAATCTACTGATGGGGTCAGTGAGGGAGGGGCTGGAAGGGAGAATCCTGCATAATGTTAAATCTGAACATTTGATATTTCCATAAGTCTAGCCATACAGATGCTAATTAGAGCATTTGAAATATTAAACTCTTAAATGCTTGGCTTATTGCCTAGCTTCTGCACTATGTGTGGAAATGCAGTAATTTCTTTCTTGTAGAATAAGTTGTTTCCTTCTCTCCACTGTCTTTGACTTTCCAACTGCATCAGGTAGACAGACTGGGATACCCATTCCTCCCTGCTGCTTCTCTTCCTGGACCCTTCCTCACTGCAGACCCTGCCCTTCTTAGCACAGGTGTTTGCAGCAGACTGGAAAAAGGGATGCATCACAGGAGAGACCATGTGGGAGGGATCACTGGGGCAAGATGTCTGAGGAAGTGGGTGAGAAGAGGGTAAGCTCTTATTCACTGCAGGAGCTTAGTTTAGCACAGTTGGAGGTTCTTGGATGCAGGTGGCTGGCCCAGAAGTGAAGGCTCTTGGGTGAATTTTCCTTTGTGTGTATATATAAAATAGGTCATGCAGTGGATCTAATGTAGCCCATAGATGATGTAGAGAATGCTGAAATGCAATAGATTGTTGTGTTTAGCTTTTTCTTTCTCTGAATACATCTTGTTTTCTCATTTCAGTTACAAAAAAATGGCCTTCGGAAAAATGGCATTTTGAAAAATGGCCTCATCTGTGATTTTAAATTTAGCCCCTGGAAAAACAGCACTTTCAAACCTGCTCTGGAGAATGAGGATTCTGAGACAAGCAGTAGTGATACATCAGATGATGATGATGTGTGAAGATTTCTGTAACATCTGTAGAAGCTTGTTTTGTTCTCATGAAAATTTGGGGATGTGTTGTCCAAAAAAATTTTCTAATTTATGTAGTAACATACTCCATTAGAGGAAGAATGATGGGACTTCTCTCTGAAGAAAGCAAGGAATGTTGTGTTGAACATAACTATAATTTCTTTGCAAACAGATGTTGTAGAGGACTTGGGTTGACCCAGCATTGACTTTCTTCATCACTGCAGCATTTCTGACTAGCAATGTGACAATGTAACAAATCACTTTCTCATTTAATAATAAAAACATAAAGAATTGTGTAATGTCTTGCAAAGCTTCTGTCTTAATATGTCCAAGTCTATTAGGGGAAAAAAAAAAAGGGCAGCTTGACACACTGTTTTGCTTGCCAAGTCATTTCTTTCTTACAATGGAAATCCTTGAGTCCACTTTGTACGCAAAAAGGGCGATGTAGCATGTTGGCTAAAATGAGTAAAGTGTACTAAAACTCTTTTCCTTAATTGAGCTGTTGTACTGTTCTGCTTCTTCCACACAACTGTTGTTTAGCCATTTGTAGTGTAGTCATTGTTATTAACAGGAAAAAAAACCTGATGTTTCGGTTCCAAATTTCTAGAACTAACCTTTAAATTGAAACCTTTATGTGGGGTATTGCAAGACCCAGTATTCTCACAGTGAACACATTTCTTGTAGGAAAATAAGCACTTTGATTTTTGCTATTCACATGAAGAAAAAATAATTACACTGACTGGATTTGTCCACTACATGGAAAATAAACTGATTTAGAGTATTGTCTCAGTGCATAGCATCAAGGGTATTGTTTTAAAATCTAGTAAGTTTTTTGTTTGCATTTATATTAAATGTACTCTGGCAGCAGTGACTGCTTTTCAGAATGAGTTAAAAATATTTTTATCACCAGGTCTTGCTTTTATAGCAGCAGAAGTATATCTATGCAATAAGTATATGTTTTGCTTACTTTGTGTCAAACTTTTTCTTTATAATCACACATTTAAAAACTAATATTATTTATAGTTTTATTTGGTTCATTTTAGTTCTCTAAATATTTTCCACAGGGTTGTACAAACTATGTAGCATTAATTCATGAGCACAACTGCTCTTGGTGATGTCGTATACATTTATAACATAGCTTATATATAGAAATTCCTCCTTCAAAATATTTTTGAATTGCACTACTTCTTATAGTAAGTAATTTGCAATTTAAAGCTCTAAAGCAAAAATATTTATAAAGCTGAGATTTTGTCCATGTTTAACTTCTTTAGGAAAAGACATTTTTTTATAAGGTGGCATCTAACAATTTTGGGCCAAAGGTGGTGTGTGGTTTTTGGGTTGTTTGTGGGGTTTTTTGTTTGTTTTTGTTTTTTGGATTTTTTTTTGCCTTTTTTTTTTTTTGGCGGGTGGGGTGGATGGGTTGGTGTTTGTGTGTTTTCTTTTGTGGTTTTTTTGGGGGGTTGTGGTTTGGTGTGGTGTTTTTTGTGTTTTGGTTTTTTTTTTTTTTTTTAGTTTAAACAGGTTTCTATTCAAGAGGTCAGGGTTTTTTTCCTGGAACAGGCATGCAAACGTTGGTGTAGTTAATTCTGGCACAATGTATTGAAATATGCTGTTTTCTTGTCTAAATTTAAGAGGATAAAAATCTTTTTTTTTTTTTTTAAGAGAAAACTGCTGTATTGGTAATGAAGTATTTCCTATTTGTATACCTTACCTTTCTCTTTCCCCTCTCCTGCAGTGTGTGGGGTTTCTTGTTTTGTTTTTTGTTTTTTTTTGGTGTTTTTACTAACTTCAACACCTTGGTGTAGTTTATTCTCTTTTTGGTTGTCGTATCCTATCAGCAGGATCTTCTGCCTATTGTAGTTACTTAGTGGTATGTGAATACGCTATTTTTACTACTAAGTGAAAACTTATTTTGCCTTGGTATTTCTCAAAGCGGGACATAGGTTGTGTGTTTGTGTTTTGGTTTTTTTTTTTCTCCTCTGTCTTCAGTTTAGTGACAAGTGTCACCTCTGTAACTAACCCTTTGGGAAGATACTATAATTATAGAAGAATTGTGTTATACTAAATGTATAGACTTGGGAAATTTACAGGTTGTCATTGAGAAAATTTTCTTTAGAGAAAGTAGAAATAATAGTTATACTTGGTACTTTTGTTTTTCTAGTTTACATCCTGAAACTGGTAACAGAAGCACAGGTCACAATGAGTTGTGAGCAAAGGAAGTAACAGGACTTGAGTAGTGGTTTTGCTTCGTAGAACGAAACACCTTTACAGCCTTTGTAACTTTGTTTTCTATGAGTGTGACTTCTTGTGGCTGCTTCCCTTGTATCTGCTGTGTTGTCCGTTCTGGCTCTATACACTCAGCGTAATTACTCTGTACTCATACTACACTGTGTTTGCATTTCTGAAGTCTTATTGTGTTTGATATGGTGATTTGATGATGTGCAGATGCATAACCTTAACCAACTGATGCTTGTGGATTCAGTTCTAGTCCTATACAGTGGTCCATTCTGACCCTTCATACTAGTTCGGAAACTGGTGTCAAAGGTCTGCATAGCCCTTAGCTTAAATGGTTATCTGCCTGCTCTGTTACTTAATAAATACAATCTGTTTTATTTATGATGGGGACCTCAACTTTAGTGTTTCTTCTTTAAAGAATGTCTGTTCTTCACTAAATACATTTAAACTGCTGTCTGCTAGAAACTGGAAGGATAGCTTAGTCAAGGATGTCTTTGTTTTTCCCTGTTTTCTATATGCTGCTAGGCAGTGGTTGAGACAGTTTGCTGCATGGAACTTTTGGTCTGATTAAGGATTATTGCTGTTGTGCACCAAGAATTACTGGCTCATTGGAATGATAAATGTGCTGACTAGCTCATCAGCTTTCCTCGTGCTGTTATTCATAGTCATTAGTGAGCTTTATTGCAAATTGAATGAGGTTTGTTTCATTCCCTGGATCTTGCTCTTCAGCCTTCCCTAGAGGTAGCTGGCAATGCATTTGCTAGACTGGCACTGGCAGTGATTTCTGAGGCAGTCTGGCTGTGTGAAGCATAGGTGTGTATTGAAAACTTTCTTCTGTCTCGGGAGGTTTGTGCTTCTTCAGAGATTTGAAAGCAACTTCTAGGGTCTGTCTCTGTGTGTTGTCATCTAGGAAAGACCTTCAGACAGACTAAAGAAAAAGTTCATACCTTTGACCAGTTGGTCAATAGAATGTACTGCTCTGTTACTAAATTCAGTGCCTACCAAAGCCTGCTTCCATTGCATTCTCTTGTGCAAATCTGATCATCTGATGGAGATGTGAGATCTTACAGGGTCTATAGTGGCATGCGTTTCTTAAATCCCTATGAAGATACCTGAGAGTATGCTTGCTATTTAGGCTTCATGCTGTATACATCTTCCTTGGACATCCTCTTAGTATGTAGCTATTTATTCCCCTGGCAATAGCATGATTCCTATAGAGGAATTATGTTCCATACTTGTGGGGCAAATGCTTATTTACTTTCTTATCCTATCCAGGTCAAAGATACAGCTTTGAAGTGGAAGAGAATATTTTTGGCAACTGGTATGATTGCTAATTTCCAGAGAAGCATCTCCACATCAGGCTGATGGAGCTTGGGTCAATATGAGAAAACTTGAGTTCCCCTTAGGAGGTGTGGGGATGTACCTGGTTCAGGTGGTACTAAGCAAGGCACTACAGAGGTTTCACCCTGGGAAGCAAAGGAGTGCAAACTCCTTCCACTCTGCCAGGAAGCAGTCAGACTTGAGAACTGATGCAACAAATTCTAAATGCTTGAAAGATGAACTTGGAGCAGCCTGGTGGCCTGAGCTATTGCATTTTGGTAGACTACCAGGCTGGCTGTGTGCTGTCCTGAATTATCATCTAAGTCTACAGATTCTGAAACAGGCCTCTTTGCATCAGGTACCAAAAGACAGTTCCTGACCTGTATGCTCACAGTTAGGTCAAGGGAGGTGATGTAGCTTTTTCCTCCAATCTGTTACTCAGTATAGCCAATGGCAGGAAATGATGTGCAGCTTTGATTCTGCTTATTCTAGTATGGTGGCTTTGGTACAGTAGCTTCCTTTTCTTATTCCTTCTTCTCTGTGATAGCTTGGTGTCTGGGAGCTCTGTGCTATCCTAATCTTTGCATCTTCCATCTCACATTGCTTCCTGTTGCAAGACTGCTGAAGTGGAAACCTCTTTAGCAAGTTATGGAGCATCCTATCTGAGCTTGTGTGTCTGCATTCTTGCAATCTCCAGCTTTATTTACACCTTCACCAAATGCTACACTACCGGAGTAGCCTTTAGAGCCAAACTCTCACATGATAGAGCAGTCCTGCAGTTGCTGTTTGTGTGAAGGACTCTGCGTTGTTCCTCTAGCTGTGGTTATATGGTATTTCTTCTTGAAGTTACCCAGAGAAAATACACACACATAAAATCACTCAAAGAAAAGAGTTTCTTATGAGCAGGTTCTTTAAGAAGTGTTATCTTACGTGCATGTTCATCTTCTGTCTTCCTTCTGTTCTTCGGTGTCTGCAGTTAGCTGTTGATTTAGGATTCTGCATTTGGGGAAACAATTGGAAAGGTGTAAGTTGTAGTCTTGCCCTATGTACAGATGAAAAATGATCTAGCTTTGAGTCATCTGGCATACATGTGCACAAATGCATGCGCACACACAATTTGAATGTAATAGAAGGGAACATGGTAGAATTGTTAGCAATAACTTACTTTCTATGCTTGCTATTTGTACCTGTTGGTGTTATTGGTGGTTCTTGTCATGAGTATTGTGTGTTTTCCTACCCAGGATATCCAGAACTTTATATCCAGGCTCAAGGGCCTCTTCATCAATTATCAGGTTTGCTTATTTTCCTGTAACATTGCTTTAGGTAACAAGAGATACTGTTTGAATGGATAATGTTTGAAATAAGCTGGTCTGTAAGGAATTGACATGTACTGTAAGCAGCCTACTGAATTAAGCTGCTGTTTATGCTAAGCTATAAACACTTCATTACCAAAAGCTGGGAAATACTTTGTCTACATTGGAAAGCTATTTCAAAAAGAATCTTGAGTATGAATGTAAAGTATGCAGATATTTTACTTAGTCTTCACATGAGTATTTCTCTGCTCTGATTTTTTTTGTTGTTGTTCCCCTCCAAAGTGTGTGTGTGCACAAATAATCTTTGTACAGAATAAGAATATTTTCTTAGTTCAGGTGAATGAATTAGTGTGGTGGGTTGACCTTGGCTGGCCACCAG